AATTTGAATGACCACATGTTACACTTTGGGACAGGCCGATAGTCCAAGCCATCCAGACAGCAAAATCTCATACACTTTATTTCGTGATCAGAACTTTTGGATGTATATCAAATCCAAAGTCAAAGCCACGTGGACGTCTGATGGCATATAGCCGAAACACAATCTTTCTCGATCAGATCTAACCATTCACAACAAGCAGTAGTAGGGAAGAAAAATCTATGTTCAGACCGTTAGATGAACAAATTGACTGCCGATAAATTTCGCATCAAAGGAATCCGAGCCTATTACGATGATACAACTGGAACTGAGGTTGAAGAGACTGATTCTATGCTCTATTATAAAACACAAACATTCTACTGTAAAGTTGAAATAGAAATCCCCACATGTACCTCTGATCGAGATTGGACTATCGGCCTGGTCCAAGCATGCGATTATATGTATCTGGCAAACGACTACGATGGGATCGGCAAGTCACTGTGGGAATTCCACCCACTGAAAAGTGGTTTGCGAAAGTTGATTAACGATAGTGATGGACGCCAGTACCCATTTTACAGTGTCAATCAAAGCCTGTACAATATTAAAAAAGGACCAGTTCGTAAAGTGACACTTAATCTGCAAGTGAAAGACTATTTTCACCCATCTGTCGTTTGGGAATTGCCGTATTCTGGCGGTGTTCGGCTGACAGAAATAAACAGGCAGCAGAAGTTTCTCATCTGGTTGGTCGCCATCAAGTATGGGAAAAAACTATCTTGTAAAGACGAGATTACTGTTCTGAAAAAGATCCGCTGGGAGTATGATCTGCATATGAAAGTGGATCCCTTTATGCCATTAGGCAGTCGAGTACGGAAAATATTCGATGTGCAAGACAGTGGGATTATAATGATGGATCCGGATAAATCTTACAAACTACCAATTGCAGCCACATTTCCACCACATTGTAATGCAGCCCAGTCTTTGATCTGGTATCCGAAAGATCCGCATAAACATGCACGAATTTTGGTCCCTCCGAAACAGATTATTGTCCCCTGGGAAGAATGGGTCCATGACATGCTCGGACCAAATGCACGAGTTCGTAAACCAAATGAAGTCTCGGAAATCGGTGACACCCTTGTGTGCGCCTAGTCTCCGTCGAATCACATCCGATTGTCCTTACCTTTGAGACAAGTCTTATACCCTAGTTTGACCGTCTTGTCATGAACCACTTGTCACAATACGCACTGACTGATCTCGTCCAATGTGGTATTCAGTGCTATTCTTATTTGATCTTTTGCAATCCTCGTCGAGTAGCTTTTCTTATCATCTATCGAATCTCGTCAAAGCCGATGACGACTGGCGTATGGTGCACACTTAACCGCATTTCGATGCAATCGATCGAGTTCATATAATGCTCGGTTCCCATTGGAACGTGTTTGTTTCCCGCACATCCACTGTCCCTGTATACCCCTTCACTCGAATATGACCCACACCTATTGGGCTCAATGACCTAACTAGAGTATGCGATATCCCTCGCCTCTTCATGCGTGTGTTCCGGTTTGTCCGAAACCTGAGATTTCCATCCCACTCAAGTGCTCGACATTTGATAAATATAGACCGCTATCTTTCTAGACCTGATACACGGGTATTAATCTAACCGACGGTTTCAGTTTTTCCACTTACGTGACTGAGTGGAGTATGTGGCTATTCTTAATAGGTGCGTTGCAAAACTCATCGATTCCACGAATGCCACTTTTACACTTAAGAACCATAAGTAAATTGTCTATTCTGGCAATATTTTATCATGATTCTGGGAGGCTAGATTTTTTTCTTTAAAGGAATGGTGTCAGTAACTTCTAAAGGCTTTCTGTTGTTATATCATACTACAAAAAGGAATGAGCACTGTTCTACATTTCATCGTCCTCGGTGTTTATTGTCGAAAATACAAAAAGAAATTTCATGGAATATTGGAGGAGGTAGACCTGTCCTTAATTAGAACTTATGGAAGGATAAAGTGAATACTTGTAAGTGGAATTGTGCTTTACTCAGTGTTGCTAGTGTAAGCTAATGTTCAACTTGAAGAAGACAAATATTGTAAGGAACTTTTCATCACAACAACCTTGTTTGCAACACCGGGTGACCATTGGATAGACAGCTCTTTCAGAGTCAGTCCATTGAAGAATCAATGCTATGATTCGATGTTTTGTAAGTGGGTTAGATGCTACTAACCGCAACGAACGTGATCTGATAGTCTTTTTAGAATATTTCGTTATAAGTAGCATAAGAATCACTGAACAAAATTTCCCTGGAAGCACACGACCGGTTTCGTTGTTCTTGCCGCTCGTCAAGCATGCTACTACTTATAATGAAATATTCTACAAAGACCATCAGGTCACGTTTGCTGCGGTTAGTAGCATCTAACCTACTTACAAAACATCGAATCATAGCATTGATTCTTCATTGGACTGACTCTGAAAGAGCTGTCTATCCAATGGTCATCCGATGTTGCAAACAAGGTTGTTGTAACGAAAATACATTTCCTGGGTACAAGGATATGAATGAACTGACGAAAGATTATCGGATACGCATGCCTGACGGGTGGCAAGAATCACGAAACCGGTCGTGTGCTTCCAGGGCAATTGCGTCCAGTCATTCATATGATACTTATAATGTAAGGTACTAACAGGTGTCATTGGTGAACTATGAATGTTTCTAATGCTGGATCAGTGGTAGGAACTTGCGTTCATTATCCAGGCATAACTAATCCCATTCCTGTTCACAGTTCTGGATAACAAATTTCTTGAATCAGGAATGTTACCTAATAAACGATAGAATTTTATAAAAACCCCAAACCCTGCCAAGTTCGTTTATTCCTAGATCAGCAGTGACAAAATAAACCCCATGATCTTGTCAATTTTCTCGCTTTTTCCTTCTGATGAGTCTCCCAACACTGTTTTCCTAACTCAATCTCTTAACCGACATTGATGAATCTTATGGGAAAATACAACTTTAAGAACATGGATCGGTCCTTGAGAACCGTGCACTGCATGAATACCTAATGTGAATAATTGTTGTCGCGTTTTCTCTCTAGCCGAATATGATAGAATTGCTAATCCAGCTCCAAGTCATTGAGTTAGGAAAACAGCTTCAAACATCAAATCGGAAGTTCATGAGATTAATAAGACGAAGCATTTCAAAAGCTATTTTCTGAGAATTCCTGAAGTGGTAATCTCAATGTGCGAGTCTTTGGTACTAAGTTTTCATACTTCAAGGGACACGGGTAGGACTACTCTTGTAAACAAACGACGGACTGAATCATGGCTATAAGCATGCCAGTATATGGTCTGAACTCCGACAAATGTGGAACACTTGGTATTCAGATTTTTATGACGGGTTTGACCTGGAAAGCATTCGGTTTTACTCGTGGTCACTTTCGATCCTAACAGAAGACGCAAAACAACTTGATTGGCATTCACCTTAGACCACTGAACTTCTCCATTTTCTGTTCGACTCTACTTTCAACCGGCGCACGAATATGCGTGGTTAATGGTTGTACAAACTGAACTGAACTGAACACTTTGCATATCGTTTGTGTAAGCAGTATCAAGTTTTCTCATCATACTTAGACATTGATTCGTTCGCAGAGTAATTGATTAACGATTAGCGGTATAACGCCTCGCTTGAGACCTTGTCCAACAAGAAGCCACAAAATACTATGCCTTGGTCAACATTTGTACTTTTAGTTGGGAGCATGGGTAAAATAGTGCCGTCAGGCCAATGTTAGCGCCGGACGTCTATATGCGCATTCTGTTGCTCCTCCATCCAGAGAGGCTCGACTTAATAGATTTACGTGTCTACTTGGATGGCGGACACTTTCAAATAACGCAAGACTTAGATCGAATTTTATTAAGAGTGATTTGAGTGGTCATGAAAAAACCTGTTGAAGAATCTTTGATTGCGTCTACCGAGAGTACAGTGTGTGTTTTAGACTTCAATACTGAAGCTATTCACTTGTTGATATTTCTGTGCAAACCAGCCTTCACTTACTTCAGTTCAGTTTGTGCAGCCATTAACCATACACTTTCGTTCGCCGGTTTTGGTTGCTATCTTTGGCTATCCGTTCGGATGAACTGTAGGTCGAAGACAGGAAGGTTGAAAGTAGAGTTAAACAGATAGTGGAGAATTTCAGTGGACTAAATTTGCAAAGAAACTGAGAAGATGCACGAACGCTATTGTTTACGACACTCAGCCATGTCACTCAGTGTCTCAAACCACCAGTTACGATCATCCCGAAGTCCCCAGCCAGGAGGCCTAACGCG